AAATATATATATATATAAATTTATATTTATGTAAGGAGGATTCGAGTTGGACTTCAATCAAACACCAGATGGGCTTGTGGAATGTCCACTACTGGTGCTTTTGAAAAAGGGCATTCAGCAAACATTTTTCAGGAATGCTGTGCCTGTAATGTAGTGGACATGTCTTGGGACAGAGACTTTTTCCAGATCATATATATTGCACTTCATATATTGAACTATGTAAAAAAGACATAAGGTGCTTTTGGTGTCTGAGGCATCTTCTCTATATGTTCCTGTGCTATGCTGGAAGTGCAAGTTTCTGTAGACTTGCTCAGTGTAGAAAATCCATCTGAATGACCATGAGAGGAATGTGAGTCACATCCTGAGGACTGCAGGCCATGGGAAAATGCTTAAGGTTAAAGAACTGAAGTGTCTGTGTGAAGGGACAAGAAGAAATAGGATGCTGAAGCCTGGTTTGCATGGTGGGGATCTTATGCTTGTGCCAGCATTAATTGCTGCAATATCAGAGGTCATCTGTAATCCCATTGTGCAGTGGTGAAGTTGGCAATCAGAGACCACTGTGTCACTAGGCCATGAGAGGGTCCACTTACACCTCTAGCAGTCTCTGTGAAAAGCACTTTGGATAGTATTTATAAAGGAAGAGAGGATTTTAGTGTTAGCATGACACGGTTGTGAAAAAAACAACCCCTACAAGAACATTGCTTCGTACATTGCATATGGATGGGCATTGTAATAGCAGGCTGCTAAATGATTGACCATATCCATCCAACCAGCTCCAATAAAAATAAATTCACTGTTATCTAAAGAGGGCTATCCTTGAGAGAACAATCTGGGTAGGGAAGAATGGGTGGCAGGAGGAACAAGAAGAAACGGGAGGCTGTAGCCTAGACTACACGTCAGGGATCTTAGCCGGTATGAGTTAATTACTGCAGTATGAGAGATTGTCTATAATCCCATTGTCAGGGTTTGTGTTCAGCACAATTACTGTGCTATGATAAACATGGCCAGAGTAATCTCATTCCAGAAAATGGGGTGCTTGGAGAAAGACAGGATTGCAGATGTCTAAAGCAGATTTGTTTTCTGCATGCGTTCAGTTTTGCATCTGTTTCTTTTGATGACGTTAGCTAGAGGCAAACCAACAGAGGAAATGAAAGCAATATATTCATGCTGCAAAATCAGGCATGTTTCTTCATCAATAACAAGGAATCTTTTTCTTCTGTTTGCAGAGATGTAATGCACAGATTTTCAAGCAACTTCTAAACAATTTGGAGACTTTGCATAATTTGTGGACTGACACAGATGTGGAAGTCCAAGTTAAATATATTCAAGTAACATGTTTACACAGTGCTTTCTGCTTATTATCTCCTACTGTAGTAATTGTTTGTCTTAAAATGGTTTGTCTTTCCCCTATTAAGAGGGAGAATCAGTAACTTCTAATTTACCTCTGAAGAGGTATCAGTGTAGAACACAGTAGGATAACTGTCATCATCTTCTGTTTCCTTTTGCACCAATATTTTTGATCAGCTGAAGGGATTTATTGTGTTAAGAGATAAGGGTGGAAATACAGAATTCCTTTTTTGTCTCAGGAGGTATTTGATCCCCATACCTTCAAAAGACAATACTGAACTAATGATCATTTACTTCATGGTGAAAAAGGGTAAATATGATTTCAGACCTAGTCAAGTTTAAGATTATAAAAGAAGCCTTCCAGATAGTTCTGTAAGCATGTGAGGTGGTGGATATTCTCAGAACTGAAAAGATATAAATGAATCCTTCACTTTTCTTGTCTTGTTGACTTTTCCATCCTTCACTGGATCTGTTCACAGTCATGTAGCTATTGGTACACCTTTGCATTCTGTCACCTTTGTGGACTATAGGACATTGTGGGCATAGGGTTGTGTTTGATGAGAACACAAATATCAATAAGGTTTTATTTTGTGCACATCAATTGTCATTGTAGGACTAAGAGCAATATTGCTTGAATTAGTATTTTGCCATTTAATACACTAAAATAGCAATTCCATATGACAAAATCTTCCTAGTGAATCTGTATCATGAACCTGTCAAAAAGCTTTTTAATTGCTGTTTTATTATTTTACTTTGTTGCATCAAGCTGATTGTCATACCCCAGTGTGTTAGCATTAACTAATAAAAATGATTTTCTACTAAATGACTGACGTTGACCAGACTGAATTGTGTAGTCACTGTAGTGATATTATTACTCCCTTGGAGACTGCAGTTTTCCAAGCTGTCATGATTTTTGTTAAATGAACTGTGGATTTGATAGAGGCAGATGTGTAACAACAAAGGATGATACAGCTTGTACTTGTTCTGCAAAATATGTATCTCAGTTTTATTTAGAAGACAATCTCCAAAAGCTCTTTCCTTGTTTCCTTCATTGTTAGTAGTCAGTGTCATACCATGACCCTTAGGCACTAAAAGAAATAAATGATAACTTGAAGGAAAGTACTGTTTGTGTCTCAAATTAAGTATCTTGTCCAGGAGGTAGTCTGTAACCATACAGACTGATACAACATGTTTGGTGGTACCAGGGGTAAGTTATTCAGCTGAAAGTTTTCAGGCAAAGTAAATTTATTTAGAATTTAGAGAGTAATCAACACATCAGAGCTTTGATAAGAGGTATGACTCACCAATCTATTGGAGTATTTAGAAGAAATTAATGAGCATATGGCCAAGAGAAGTCCATTTGCTGTGTGATATTTGACTATTTTAAAATGTACTCAGCTATTACATTCCAACTGATAGAATAAAGTAAATGGAAAGATTTTCTTGTAGAATAATGTTGGATTAAAAATAAAGACTGAAAGAGTGGGTAAAGGGGCAGTTTTAACAGTGGAAGGAATTTACTAAGAGAGTCCTAGCAAATCCTCTGCTTAAGTCCCAGCTGTTCAATAAATATGGAATAGAGCAAAATGTTCCCATAACTTAAGAAATGCACTTAACATCATTAAAATGGACTGAGGAGTTTAAAAAATATCTTGAAATAGAAATTGACCTAGTTTTGAAACAGGTAAAATTCAATGTGGTCAAATTCAAGATAAGACCACTCAAAGCCCTTCATGATGCAGGTGGAGCTGTCTTATGTCTCAGGAAGAAAGAGCCTTGGGTGGCCTTTCTCAAGGCTCACCTGCCAAGCCTGTGCCTAAGAAATTGCTCAGTTCATCAGCACTGTTATGGTCAGAGTAGGATTGCATTGCAAGGTCTGTGGTTAGAACCTGCCAGAAGGTCTTGAGCAGGATTAAGTGTAGTTTAATCCAAGCTTCTCACTGCAAAAGAATGATCTGGTGTCATTCAGGGTGGTGAAAAAAGATGGTCCTCTAAAGACAGACCTTAGTAGTGTGTACATATATATTATGTTGTAAGGCTAATATTGCTTAGAAATTAATACCCAGTTTATGTTTCCTGTACATCCCGTGTAGTTATGCTTGAACTGAACACCAAACTAGAAAGTATCTTTAATGTGGTAGTTTTCATTTTTAGGAATGGTAAATTTTTCATGTTGAGAAACTGACAAATATGACAAACGAAGGCTGGAACTGCAATTAAAATAAGAAGCTTGTACAAGGAAGTGCCTATTCCCTGAAGACAGAGATTTGCTTTGGATTTCAGGGATAATCCTCCTAAAGCTAAAGAGGCTAAACACTTCTGGCCATATACGGTCATAACTGACAAAGTAGAGTTAAATGCAGCACTTGGTAATTTATCTGCCTTCAATTTAGAAAGGAAAATTCATCTTTCTCTTGTAAGGAATTCACACATATTTTGAATGCCATTTAATATACCTAAAGCATGAGAACTAGCATGCCTTTAAATCAAAATATTCCTCAAATTTCTGCAGTTTAAACAGGGCTTGATAAAAGGAAAAAATGGATGTAAAAAACTCTTCCAAGTCTGCCAAAGCTGGGATATATAAGAGATCAAGGGTCTTGGCATCAAATACATGTGCTACTTTGGAAAATTATCTGCTAAAGCCAAATAACCTTGTTGTGAAGCCCACTCAAAACTGATTCTGATGCATGCTGGGGCCCTGTCCTCGTGCACACATTTTCCCTGCTAGGTCACTGACTAATGCCAGCAGTGCTGGCATGATCCCTGTGGCCCTCACCATGAGGAGACAGAATACATCTGCATGCTCCACATCTATACTAAAATACCTGCCATGCCTCCTTCTAAAGCTCCTTTTGGAAACCTCTCTTCCATTTTCTCACATCTGTATTTCTAAATAATTATCAGTCTGAGACACCAGCTGTTCGGGTGGTTAATTTCATGGTAAACTGGATTCGGTCCTCTATGTGTGTTTGTGAGTCCTGTGTGTGGGAGCCACGCATACATATGGACACACCTGTGTGCAGTTCCTTTTCCATTATGAAATGACAAGGATATTTTAATAAGTAAATCTAAGAAACTTTTGAAAATATGCAGCTTTCTTAGGAAAGTAGAGTAGTTTACCTCTGACTTGCACGCAGATATGGCAGCTAATAACCAAAGGAAATTACTCTGATTAGATGGAAAGATTTCAGGAACAGAGGTAAGATTTGAATGGGTTTTTCAATCTTAAGTAACACTTGATAATACAATGAAAAATGACACTTTTAAAAAATATATGGATTTCTTTAGTACATCTTCTGTTGTGCTTACCTATCCTGGTGACAAATCATAGAATCATAGATTCATTAAAGTTGGAAAAAACCTCCAAGATCATCAAGTCCAGCCATCACCCAACACTACCATGACTATTAAACCATGTCCCCAAGTGCCACATCTACACGTTTTTTGAACCCTTCCAGGGATGATGACTCCACCACCTCCCTGGGCAACCTGGGCCAATGCTTCATTATTTCAGTAAAGAATTTGTTTTCTACTGGTACCACTATGCACATGGCACAGCAGCGGAAGAGAGATTTTTGTGGTATTTAGTGCAGCATGATCAGAGTTATTAATCAAAGCCTGAATGCTCTGCCTTTATTGTTGGGTGATACACAACACAGAAAAGCAGGACCAGGATTTTTTATTCCAGCTGAGCTTTGTGATGACCTTTAAACATCCCTTCCAACCCAAAGCATTCTATGAAATCATTGTATGGTAAAGTCAGTCATTAATTTCAGTGGGGCCAGGACTTAATTTCAGCATATCCTGGAAGTAAGCCAATTTTTGCAATTAAGAAGAAGCACTCTCGGAACCCCACCTGTGTGCGTGTTTTGATTTATCTTTTCAGAGTGCAAGGACGTGGTTGTCCATGGCCCTTGTTCTGTAGTCCACTTACAAACTGCAATTTAGTTTATCTTTGCCTCCATTATCAGTGACACACAATACCTGGGGATGGTATTGCCAGTGGACTCCCAGCACTGGTCTCCCTGCTGCAGCTTCTGCCAAGAGGAACAGATTGCACTGGTCACTTTTTCTTCTTTCTACCTGTAAATTAATGAGAAATTAAATTATTTGTGACTTTCTGCCCATGTGGTGCAAGGATTTCATAGCAGTACCGTTTCAGAATCCATTCTTTGGTACTGCTTGAGATGAAACACTGCCAAGCTGCTGAGGAAGCCTAATGTATTACTTACATGTCTGTCCTGTTCTGTTCAAAATTACTGAAGTACAGTTGACCACAAAGCAGAAGATCTTCTGGACAACAGAGCAAGGTGGCTGCTACAGTAGTTCCTGCAATTATCTTCTTTTTATACTCTGCATCAGAACTGTGTTGAGAAAAAAATTCTTGGTTACTTGAAAGTAAATGGGGGTATTTAATAGTAGGCAGACTGATGATCATTTCTATAGAATGAGTTTTCAGAATTTCCTCTGTCAGGATTGCTCACAGTAACTGGATGCTTTTGTTCCTGTACCCAAATAGAGTGGCTTCAGAAAAAAATGCATGCAGAAATATCTTGGCTTTAAAATAAACTATGTCTAAAGAATCTCAGATGAAAAACTTAATGATGAATAGCACACATAAAATTATGAACACTTGACTATTACAATTAAATATATATTTTGTGGCTTGCTCATTAAATGTGTAAGGCCTGTAACTGTTTTTAATGTATCTGAATATCATATGTCTACTTTTATATTTTTAAAGAGAACTGCAATAACAATTTTTAGCGTATTGGGTAAATGCTAACTTCTATTGCAAGAGCAGCAATATGGAACGTTGCAGTAATTACAGAATTTTAAATTTGCTTTTAGCAGTTGTTTCAAAATTTGAATCTGAGGATCATTTTCTTTCATTGCGTTCGTAAAGCCTAAACTCACAACTCTTCAGATGGAACGAACTAAAAGAAATTGAAAGCTTAATCTATTTCATTAATTTTGCAATGGGAATAATTATTTACAAGCGATATTTTTGGGTTTTATTTCCACAAAAAGGAGATGCTTCTCAAGTGCTTTAAGACTCTTCTAATGTATTTGACATGACATTTTAGATCTGTTTGTAATTATAGCCATTTGGGACTCAGAAGAGTTGATAGTTTCAACTGCACTCATTTCTTTTCCTGTGTTCGTTTGCAGGATGCTCTGGCCCATTAGGGATAGAGGGAGGAATTGTGTCAAACCAACAGATTACTGCATCATCCACTCATCGAGCTCTTTTTGGGCTCCAGAAATGGTACCCATACTATGCACGACTTAATAAGAAGGGCCTTGTCAATGCTTGGACTGCTGCAGAAAATGACAGATGGCCATGGATTCAGGTAACAGATGGGGCTGAGGATGAAAGAAATCTTCTTGATTCAATTGCCAGAGTCACTTAAGAAACTGATGAAGACAAGTGGTGAACTAACAGCTAGAATCTTACTCACTGTCAGAAATGTAGCCTAGACTAAAAGGGACAATTTAGTTGCAAAACAGTAATAATCTTGACTTTACAAATGCACAAATCTTTTTATCTGAAAAATGTATGCGTATGTTCCACTGTGTCTCTAAAGCAGGGAAGCAGGGAAATGGATAAACTCTTCAAGAAAGCTGCTTTCCACATATGTTACGTTAGCTCGTTAGGTCCTTAATAGCATTTTGCAATATCTCTTTGATAGAGTTGCTTTGATACCATCAGCCTTGCTTGGGCATCATCCTGGAGTGCTTTAATGTGGTGTTGGCTGTACCAGAGCCTGCAGGAATAGTTGTCCTCTCTGATGAGCTGCTCTGGGCACACAGGTTAAGCCTTGTGTTCGTCATGCTGGAAGTAACAAGAGCTGTTTTAATTAAGGTTGATATAGCTGTTAGTTCAACAAGATTCGCCGGGCTGTTTTTTCATTCCCACTCAAGGATTTTATTGCTAGAATGATTCAAATGGCAGTGCCCTCATGGACTGGAATTCTCTGCGCCCAGCAAATGACTTCAGCAAAAGTCATGAAGCAGTGAATGTGATGTCCTGTGGCTGTATTTTAATGAAGATAATGATTATCTAGTGATTGCTGTAGCTCCTTTATGGTGTTTTCATGACATGTTAATGGAGCTCATTTTATAATTTTCAGCAATTGGTTAATAAAGGTGGTGTTGTATACTCCTGGGGAAACCCTTTGCACTAATTAGTATAGTCAGTATGTGAAGAGGGTGCTTCCCTCCCAGAGAACCCACCACAGGAGCAGCAAAAGATGGTACCTGAGCATCTTGCCTATCAGCACTAAGTTGAAATGTCCGTATGTCCCTTGGGTGTGTCGGACAGACTCTTCTTGAGGCTACTTTGGCATACAATTTTTGTATATATTCAAGATTTTGTACTGAGTACCAGTTGTGATTTTTCTGAGCTGTTCCCATATAAGTGGGGAAAAGGCATACAGGATTACCTGTTCATTTTTCTTGTTTGGAGAGCAGGCATAAAGTGCTGTTTGATTAAGTTTTCTCAAACTGGTGTGGTGAGAGTACTGGATTTTGTCAGTTCTGAAAAATGAAGCTGGTGTTTGTTATTCACTGCAGAGTGAAAACACAAAGGCCCTTCAATGTATCTTAAATCAGTTTTCTTCCGTTAAGACCAGAGGGGTTAGGAAGTCTGTATAATTTATACGTTGAGAAAGAACTGGAAAGAATAACACTAAGGGACTTGAGTGGAATTATTTTCACAGGACTAGAAAGCTAATGTGACTTTAATGGATAATGAAAAAGTCAGTGTTACAGTAGCTTTTGGGCTGCTTTGGAGCGTGGGCTTTATTAAATGAGCTGAAGAAAAAAATTCAAAATCATTTAGCACTGGCCCCCTAGACATGTCTTTACTAGGAGATGAGCTGGATGGGGATGGCTGATGCTCTGCTGCTTCTACATTTGTACTTGGAAAAGCCACCACCTACTGAAGAGGCACCTCTCAGGCAGCTGTGCAGGTTTCTACCCAAACCAGTGTTAACATCTGCCTTGGACTTTGCTCCCAGGGAAGTCTTCCCTTTGCTGTTACCTGAAGGGAGGGTTGGGCCAATGGAGAAAGTAAGCCTACAAATCTCAGTTCATGGCATCAGGTTTGAATAATTTGTTCTTTTGTGGGGTTAGTGACCTAATCTAGGTAGTGCCAATCCCATTCAGGTTATTCTATAATACTGATTGAGTAATATGATTAATGTTTACTAAGCACCTAGCATTCCCTTGCTGTTTTGGTTTTTTTGGGTTTTTTTGGTTTTTTTTTTCTCATTTTTCTTCTGAAATAAAATTTGGTCTATACTTTTCATAAAAGTCACCAAGTATTTTATTTTTATTCTCAGTTCAGAGCAAAACCAGGAGTACTCTTTGTGATTTAAAAACAAGCTTAAATCTTCAGAGGATTTATGTTTTTCCTTTTCTGAAGACTTCCCTCTGTAAAACACCTGGGAACAGAAAATCTGAAGTTTCTTGAGGGAGGTGATACTTGTAGAGGAGAAGTGCTTTTTAGTGTTGTGCAGCAA